CTAAGTTGCTAAACTTACTTTAAAAAAAAATCCTTCGGTCCGTGGTGAATTTCAAAACTGCGCAGACACGTTAAAAAAATAAAAACACCACCGTCTTCATTTCTCAGTTCATTTTTGCTGCCTGCGCATTGAATCCTGGGATATCCTCAGCTGGTAAGGATACATGGATGTATCCTCGGATTTCGACAKGAAGTAGGACGCATTCCTCGGCTGCATGGTGAGGAGCCTTCGAATTGGGACAGTCCTCCGTGCGGGGCAATGACGTAYGCGGCCGACAAATGCGCACTCATGAGGACCCAGCCCCTGAATTGGGACACAGCCCTTAGTGGCTCATGCCAATCATCTCAGTCACTCCTGGTTTTCTCTCTGCTGGTACAGTATCTCCAAGTTTATGTAAGTTTTGCTGCCCTGTCGGCTCTTTTTCTTTGTTTAAATAAATAATTTTGTTTTTTCAAGCTCCTCGTGTCTGCTTGCATCTGGGTTCATTCTCTGACTGAAACGTAACACTTTTACCTGTTGGTGCGTTGTATTGTCAACCTCTTCAGTTTTTAGATGCCTCATTTCAGTGTAGCAGCATCCTAAATCAATAGTTCATTTCATATTAACCCTACGCTGGTGGGTCGGTCCAGCAAGCTAGCGCTCTATCGCTGGAATATGACAGTTAGAGGGAGAAAGAAACCCTGGTTTACACATTTGAGTGATTTTGTTTTTAGAGGGCATTTATCATATATTAACAGCTTAAAGCTTTTGTTTTGAAGGGGAATCTTTGCTTTCCCGGTCTTGTTTAGCTGAAAGATCCTAGCTTATTTTATCAAAAACTTACCAGCAGTTTATAACCAGTGAAATTATCAATATTTTATCAAACATGTTTTCTATTGACACTGTCATGATATCGTTATTGAATTATTGCCCAGCCCTACTATTATCAACATTGAAATAACCTGTAATTCAGTAACAGAGGCAGAGTTGGCAACAACTTTCACTGCAGTTTTGATCTAAATCTTCTAAAAAAAAAACTATGGATCATTTTCAATTGATTTTACCGTGACGGTTTGGTAAAATTAATTAATATCTTCACTGTGTTTTATGCAGGGAACACTTCAGAAAATTGTTTTTAAAAATGTATTAACGTGTTTCACTGCAGTCTTATTTAAAGGCACAGTGTGTAGGATTTTGTCAATTGTTTCAGTCGAAATTGAGATAATCACTAATGACAATAATAAAAAACATGTCTAATCATTGCAGACAAAGACCTTGTTTTATTATTTTTACCTTATAAAAAGCTGTTTATATCTCC